AGCCCTGGATGATTAGAAAATAAAAACTGCACACAAAACATGCCTGGTTAGTAAATAAAACACACTTGCCTACCAGAAAAATTCATTCGCTCTCATCTTCCTCTTGTGCACTAAAGCCATTAAAGTCCTCCTCTTCAGTGTCGGAGTTGAACAGCCTCAGAGCTTCGTCACATACCTTTTCTGTGGCTGTGTTGCTGTCATCATCCCCGGGTGAAGCTGGCTTGAATGAGTTCTTCCCGCTGCCGTCTCCAGCGCCGAACCCTAAAGTTAGGACGCATATTCACAGCAAGGCGTCTTTCCAGTACTATGGTCCTCACCTCTGGAACGAGCTGCCAGGGGACCTCAGGGCTGCTGAGAACGTTCATGTTTTTAGAAACAGGCTCAAGACTCATCTTTTTAGCTTAGCTTTTAACAGAATACTGTCACTTTTTAAATTAATTAATTACTTAGTTTATTTATTCGATCTATTTATTTTATTTATTTTATGTATTCTTTCTTTATACGTGCTTTTTAAACAGTGTTTTACCTTTATTTATGATCAATATTATTTTAATATCTATATAACTTTTATATTACAGTTCTCATTTTAGCTCTTTTGATTTTATATTTAAACCTTAATTTAACCATTTGCCAGTGCTTCCTCTGTGGGAGCCCTCTGCCCCGGCGGTGGTGGTCGGCTGTGGCGGCCTGGGTGTTTTCCAGGTGTGCCTGGGTGGAGGTGGGGGTCTCTGCCCTCTCTGCCCTGGGCGCCCGGTGTCAGTGCCTCGGCTGCTGCTGTGGATCTGCTGCTGTCAGGGTGGATGGCTCCCCTGATGGCGCTTCCTTATCCTTATCTTAGCTGGTCTGGCTCATGATCTCAGTCAATCGTGTTTCTTTTACCATGGGGAAGGGGGCATGTTTGTGTGTGTGTGTGTGTGTGTGTGTGTGTGTGTGTGTGTGTGTGTGCGTGCGTGCGTGCGTGCGTGCGTGCGTGTGTGTGTGTGTGTGTGTGTGTGTCAGTGGAGGAGTGTTGTGAAGGGTTTTTATTGTCAGACTGTTTTTAAAATTCTGGGGATGGGAGGGAATGTGGGTATGTGGGGCCTTTTTAATTTGATAAGCACTTTGAGTTGCATGTATTGTAAGATAAAGTGCTATGTAAATAAAGTTGATTGATTGATTGATTGATTTATTGACTGATTGATTGACTGATTGATTGACTGACTGAACCATGGATTCATTCATGCCAAGCTTACGTGCGGCAGCACTGTTTCCCTCCTTTACTGCCAGATTGATGGCCTTCAACTTAAATGCGGCATCATATGAACTCATACGTTACCATGATGAGGGGGTATGGATTTGAAAAAAAATCTTCGTCGTGCCGGCTGCTTGCATGTGCTAAATTAAAATGAGCACTTTCTTCGATTTCCACTTTTGACTTCCACCTGTTTCACTTTCTGCTAAAGCGCCCCCTGGCAGGTGAAGGAAAATCTTCAGTGAAGCCGCACCTCATTATAAACCACATGGTTCAAAGCGTGGGAAAGAAGTAGCGACTTATAGTCCGGAAAATACGGTACATAACATCTCACATGAAAACATTAATTTTTTTCTGCTTGTCAAAATAAAACTGCAATAAAACTTTTCTTGCCACTATTTTAGTAAATCTCCATATTCCATTCGAACAAGAATTGATATATATGTATAAAAAATCTGTATCCTGTAATTCATTTAAAAACGGAAAAGCCAAGTAGCAAGAGATGCCATCAATGACACCAATTTTTTATATATATAATTCATAGGAATGTAGTGTTTCCTTTCAGTAATAATCTTTTTTTGGTTCAGTTCCTCTGTGTTTGGCTATCTGATGCAGAAAAACTGGTGAAAAATGTTCCATTTTCTTCCTTCTAGTTCAGTGCTTCCTAAACTTTTATCTTCTGACCCACAGAATAACAAAGGCAAAGATTTACAACCCCAAATGTCACGAGTTGAACCATTAAATCAAAGTATAATTAAAACCCAAAGCATTTCCACTGATCTTAAATTATTTATATTAATTTATGACTATTTGTTTTTGCTTTACATCATTTAAAGTGGCTATCATTTCTTTTTCTGTTTAATTAGATTCCTGGAGATCATTTAGTGTTTTATGGAGCAAAAGAGGGGTCTCGACCTTAACTTAATACTTAATATACAAAGCCATAGTCCACACAGCATGTAGTACTGTTTAATTGCACTAAAAACATCTACATTTTGGAAAGTGCCTCTAAGGTGTCAGATTACTCACTTAAAAAGCCAGCTTGTAGATCAAAGTTTAAAAAAGCAGCTGAAAAAATATTGTTCTGCAAAACTTTTCTATAACTATGAACAAGTCCAGACTTAAAGAACATATTCAGGACAGATCTCAGAGGGTCAAGCAGTGGATGAAAATAAAAGCAGCAAAGCAGGAAATGCAAATTCAGTGGTGACATATTTCCCCAAATCAGACGAGCTCACTGTTTCACATCCGTGTAAACAGTGACTCTGGCTTTTAGATTATTTTACTTTTAATTGTAATAAAAAAAATAAAAGTACAAAAAAAATAATAATAACCCATCCCCATGTCTTTGCAGGCAGAAGTAAAGCACATCTTAGATATTTCCTTATTAATGACACTTTATATAAAATATTCATTTGGCCCTCAGAGCTAATTTTCCCTGTCGGTGCACATACCTGAACACTAAAAGCTTTATCAATATTTTCTCATACTCAACAGAACAAAAATCATTTGAAACATTTAATTAATTATGTCCACTATGTGACAATAGATGTCATAAGTATAATTTAGCTTTGTTGATGTGCATTTTTAATCATTTTATTGCTTTTTCTGGGAGGAGTAGGACCCCAAAAATCTATTTAGAAAAACAAGTACATACATATATATATATATATATATATATATATTGTTTAAAATTACAAGAAAAATATTTAACCATGTCTTTCTGATGAACAGCAACAGGTCTCAAATGAACAGGATGAAATACTAAAGCGTAAGAAGCAAATGTCTCAGGGGCATATGTGGACACAGCACTCAGTTTACAAGAAACTCTACAGTAAAAATGAACAATTAAATATTTAGATAAGTGTATCCTCTATAAGTAAATTAATCAATAAGCTGAACTTTTTGTGCATTAATCTTGTTAAAGGGGAAACTAGGCAGTTTTGGCTTGCTTTTAGCACCCTCTAGTGTCCGTTTGTAGAACCAAAAACAAAACCTATCTCCTCGCTGTGGGTTTGCCTTTTTAACACCTTAATCCAACAGCTGAAACATCTGCCAGCCTTCATTAGTGTCTACATTAGTGATTCATTGCTAAATTAAACAAATCAGCTGTGTTCATGATCTAAAACATGCAGGAAACGTGATGCAATTCCGAGCCAGAAGGTCCGGTATGTTTAGTGGTTTCTCTGCTCCAACACACTTATTCAGTGGTTGAATCACCTGTGAAGCAGCTGGTCAGGCTCTGCAGAAGCGTGTTAATTACCTGCTGATTGAAATCAGGTGTGTTGAAACCGAGTTCAAACTAAAACGTGCTGGATACCGACCCTCCAGTCCAAAAGTTGAATACCTCTGCTGTAAAGGGTCAGTTTAGCACATTCTGGCCCAAGAGGACAATTTAAAAATAGGCAAAAGTTGCAAATAATCCCTTGAACTACATCGATTCGTTTGATTTAAATCCTCAGAATCACTCTCATGAATCCCTAACAAAGCCACAAGTGAAAACAAGGGAGAAAGTTGTGTGAGAGCCTCACCTACAGAGTCATTACTGAACGTAAGGGCCGATCTGCGTTGTGACTGTCTGCACGTGTGTTCTATGTTTACATTACAGTCAGACTTAAGCTTTTTAGCCAAAGTTCCCCATGATTGAAATTCTCAGTCAGCCATCAATCTGCATTATAGACTGATTTCCTCTTGTTTGGTGGGGGCTAACTGAAACAGATTGAGACAGCTCTTGCTCGCTGCATCACTAATGGCTGGCAATGAAAGACGTCTCTGTGCGGTTGACCCGTATGTGGAACGGGATCACGTCGCCGCTCAGAGCGATGAGGAGAGCTCAGCTCAATACAGGGAGTCTCTTCGGCATCAGTCAGCAGTCAACAGCATCCTCGTCTTATTGACTAAATGTTGCCCAGAAATAGAATCTAATCACAGGGTTTGGACAGGCTCTAGTTCTTCTAATGGTTTACCATTAGCTGACTGGAACAAAGCCAAAAGCATAGGGAAATATAACAATATATTCTGAGGGCCCGTGTTGCACGGCAATAATGGCCCCTCCATGATTACCGCGGCACTTGCAAAGATCAGAGGAGGTTTGCAGCAAAAATGATTACTCACTCACCTCTGCTTTGAATCCTGCTCATTATTTTCTGTCACACCAGTCTCCATTAACCCCATGAAGGCCCTGGAAAGCAGGAGCTCAAATCTGAGGGCTACACATGTCCTCCATTAGGCTGCGTTGAATGGATGATACAGGAGAGCAGCCTTTAAGTGAAACAATCACAAAGCCATTTTGCAAGCAGGCCACAACACAGTCATTACCTGCATGACATAATTGACAGTGAACACAGGCAATCTTGTTAATTGATTACCCCAGACCTGTGGTAATGGAAAATGCAAAGCCTCATTGTATCAGCAGCTTGCGTCCCTTAACTTTCCAAGCAGATGGACGCGCATTAATGGTTCTAGACGTTCCTCCCACAGAACCCCGTCATCTTTTGAAGTCCTCTCATGAATTTCTCTGCTGTAGGTGTTGACTTTCAGATAAGTTATACGCTGATCAAAAACACAGCTGACACCCACGGGAGAGCACGTGCCTCTGTAAGAAAATTTCCTAATAAGGATTATGAATTTTTTCCCCCCAGGTTAAGATGAGGATGCGAGCGTAAGACCCCGCTCCCCACTCGCGCAGCCTCCAGCTCCTCCTCTGATGCATCGTTTGCATCAGTAGTTGGGAGCACTTGTCCGCGCGCTGCTGCACCTCCCCACATCGCATTCGCGGACTCATCGCAGGTGATGACAGGAGGAAAATCCAGTCCTGACTAAAAATATATATATATATATATATATATATTTTTTAACGATTTGGTTCCGAATCAATGTAGGATGGAGACGCGTCTCGGTTACTGGCCTTTTATCATTCCCTCTGAGTGGATTTGGCTCTTCATCCTAACTTCGATTCTGGGTGGAAGAACAGAAGCGGAGGTAAGGTGCATTCCTTCATGCCAGCTGCCGCCCGTCGCGGCGCTACCGCGGGACACGTCGGAGCTGGATTTGACACCTTTTGGCGCGGCATCAGGAGAGGAATTAGTTGGGTTTGGTGCGGAGTCACCCGGTGCAGACGCTGCGGAATTAACAGAGATCGAAGAAAGTTCACTGAAAGTACAACCACTGGGGTTAGGAGAGAATAAAACAAGTGGTCCGCACAGGGACGCATTGGGCGGTCACGCATCTCCTCCCCAAAATGCTTTACGCGCGCCTGTCCCTGCTCCCGGTAACGTTACCGAGGACTACACTGGTGAGGACAGAAACAACACATTTCATTTTAAACGCTGGGATGTGGCTGGAACGCAAGACGGGGATGTGCCAAGTTGGAGACGAAGTGCCCGGAGCGCAGATACTTGGTCCGAATTCAGAAGCGAGGACCCAGACGATGCTTCTGATTTGGGCCAGGAGGAGTTCCAGCTGACGAGTTCGACATTTGCACTGACCGGGGACACTGCTCACAACCAGGCGATGGTGCACTGGTCCGGACAAAACAGCAGCGTAAGTAGCCTCCACATTTACGCACGGGCATCTGTTTGACGCAGTGTGGTCAGCGTTTACCCCTGGATCATTTTAAGCTTTCATTCCGACAGAGAGGGAAAGTGAGAGTGCTGAGATCTTACAGGATTTGGAAGGGCATCAGTGTGTGTGTATGTGCGCGCGTGTGCGCGCGTGTGCGTGCGTTTGTGCGTGTGTGCGTGTCCACCCACACCTTCACTATATCGCACCCTGAGCAAATTTAGCATTACATAGTAAAATTATAAAGAATATCCGTTTCCACGCTGCTCTTGTAAGGTTCATATAAGATCTTATTCTACCCTGTTTGTAACTATTTTAGGTGTTTCACAAAGCGCATTTTTACGTTGTTTGGTAGTTTTCCTTTACTTGATCAGACATAATATTTTCCATAAACCCAGTCTTGTGTTTAAACCACAGCTTCAGCATGTCTTCCTAAAAAAACATTTTTTTTAAATACAGAAAAGAGACTGATGTTCTCATGTTTTCAACTGCATAAAAACAACTGACTTTTATTATTATTTTTCTTTTGAAATGTAGATAAAACCCTGGAAAAGTGAAGTAAAACAAATAATTATTATATCCATTGCATTCTCCATTTTTAACCTGTGTGTGCTCAACCAGCCCTCAGTGGAAGATGTGAGTGAACGTGAAGGCACTTAAAACAACAGTAAACTTTCCTTGTAACATCGTTCCTCTCCATTTGAGGTCTACAAGCAGAGAAATGCCAACATCCATCCTAAAAATTTATGAAGCCATGCACATTAAGCTAAAAATCCCAGTTGCTTATTACTTTTGGTCAGAAGGCACACTTTGAATTATTTATAATTCTGCTACAGAATTTGCAGCCAAACGAGTAAATATTTCCTGTCTGTTTAGGATGAAAACAAGCGTCTGATTGGATGGATTTACCTATAAAATGAAACGACACTCATTTGGAAGGCTTATTTTTATGTACCGAACAAGCTGAATGGTTGAACAGTTGTGAACAAGAATCAGTTTCTGATGAAATGCTGAAATGCTCACTTATGTAAATTTGTACAGGTCTGTCATAATATTGTCAACATCATATGTACTTTAAAAAAACTTTGTTTCCTTTTCTCACAATCATGTGTTAAATGTATACCAATAATACTAAATGCTATTTACTGTCTATTTTTTAACAAGCTCAATCCTAAAGAATTAACACCTATTTTCTGTTTTAAAAGTTCTTAGGATTAATTGTGAGCCAGAAACTTAATATTTAATATTCATGTTATGTTTGCTTTTGACGAATAAAGAGCATGAGTTAGTTTCATCCTCAACCCAGCGTTCTAATTGGTAGAAGCCAATTATTTTCAGGATCTGGATTCACACTCAGATGAGAACCTCTTCTCCTCCATCTTTGGTGCAATTTATGTTTCCACTTCTACTTCGAGACACACCCTTTCGTTTTTCTAATCCAGATGGTTACAGGATACTTTATTTTCAGAATTTGTGAATGAAGGGCACAAGAGGCATTGTTCATGCACAGTTATTGGTTCCTGTTTAAGCAGCATCTCTAACATTGCCTGTCGTCTTCTGCACAACTGCTGCTTAAAACATTAAAGGTGTGGAACACTGAAAAAACATATTTAAAAGATTTTCCCTATTAATAATCGGTCTCTCTTTCATGCAGGCTCAACATGAAAATAGTCTCCTACACCTATCTCCAACATTATCTTCTGATAGAAAATAGACAGTGACACATTGATAGTCTCTCCTCCAGGCTTGAGTTATTTGTGGAGATAAAACATCAACATTGCAGGTCAGTGTTAGAGTTGTGTTGCTATTATCCAGTCTGAGGTGAGATGCTCACATTTTAGGAAATAAGACTCAGAATCCAACCGTCTGAAGTTCAACCCTGATGTGACTGACTTGCCTGCTGGTGGTCGTCGAAGGGACCGGTGGCGCCAGTGTCGGCAGTCTTGCTTCTGTCAGTGTGCCCCAGGGCAGCTGTGGCTACATTGTAGTTAATCATCACCAGTGTGTGAATGTGTGTGTGAATAGGTGAATGACTGATTGTGTTGTAAAGCGCCTTGGGGGGTTTGGGACCCTAAGGAAGGGGCTTTACACATACAAGCAATTTACCATCTCTAGTTCCCGGAAATGGTGCACCAGTGTTTTTTTCCCCTGGAGTATGACTTACAAGGTGTTCATTCCTCCTAGAGACCACTGCAAATGTATTGACCAAACAAGTGTTCCACGCCTTTAATAAAATATGCAGTCACAGCTAAACAGCTATGGTTACCTACAATCACAACCTTTAAAGGTTGTCCACTTGTGCTTTAAGCTTCTTGATTAAGTCTGAGGTTTAAACTTTTGGTTGGTAACTTGGGTTCCATAAAAAGCTTTCTTATCTAAATCTAATAATACTTTGTTGTTTTTACCCATTTTTTAAGGATAACTGTTTGAAAACCTTGCTGTGATGGCCTCACAGTTTCACAATCCACATGCAAACCTTGAGAGGCATCATGTGTTCCTCCTATCTTAATTGGTTCTTGTTTTCTGCAACGTTTCAGTGTCAAGTGATTGGATTTGAACAATTTAACTCATGCAATTAAATGAAAAGCTTAATTTATCTGATTAGCTGTCATAAACTGACACAATGTATCTGACGTTTGCGTTGTAAGAAGCATTCATGTTTGGCTACCTTGAATCGTTTTCCTATATGGGTCTGTGTGGTAACAACGTTATTTCATTTAGTTTATCAAAGGTGCTTTGAGACTTTACGACCATCCAAGTGCTCAACCTGTTTGAAAGCATGAATTGTAAGCTATTTAATATTCAGTGGTCTCTAGTGTGCAGAAGAGCATGCTTGAGTTTGCTCACACTGCCCAAGGTTAGACATTTTTATGTCGAGTTTTGAACCATGCCCTTAAAAAAATACCAAGAATATCAAATGTTCCATCTCTATTGATTTGGTCCAATGTGGCAGAATAAGAGCTCAGTTTATTAAAGGAATGGATGAAAAAAACCTTTTCATTGCTTTGATTTCACTACATATTTCATGATTTTAAGTTGTATTTAATTCCAGTTTTCTTAGAACTTTTTATTTTTTTTTTGTGAACTTTATTACAGAATGTGGTACCAATGGGTGTGGATAAAGTTTATTCAGGTTTTATTCAGAGGAGTAAAACTGCGAATCTGAAGTTCGACACTGCATGTAGGTGTGAATGTGTCTGTCATTCTGTTTGCCCAGCGAGGCTGTCAGACTGTCCTTGGTCCTGCCTTTGAGCATGCTGGGACAGGCCTCAAGACCTTGAACATATTTGCCCTATTTTATATTCACTCTACATTCAAAAAGAGTTTAAAATTAGCAGCATAATTTATCTTACTAAGAAAGTCACTCTTGTCTCTTTTTTTGTTACAATTGAAGCGTGACGTCATGTGCCCACACCCCCAACCCTGGGCTGGAGGGCAAGTAGCCGACACCTCACTGCTGACCACAGTTGTGTGTATCTGTTAGCTGTCAGAGAACAGAGCTAAAAAGCTACAATTTGCATTGTTAACACATGCAGAGCTGTAGGTTGCACAAGTGGACAAAAGAAGGCCAGTGAAGGTAAATTTTAAAGGTTTACAGCTGATAAAATAAACAGAAGGCAGTGGATAATGGCCAGTTCTAGTGGATAAACCACCCACAGAACATGGCAGACAGATATGTGACAGAACGTGTCCAAAAACAAACAAGTTAGCCATCTATTGTTGCTTGAGCCATCTAATGACTTATATGCCGAAGAGCCGGGAAAAACCAACCGACTGAGCAGATCCAGCAGCAGGGAGGAGCTGTAGAAATCAGTCCTGAGAAATACCCGCGTGTGAAAATGACATTGCCGCTGTGGTGTGTAGTTCAGTGTGTGACCGACAGTAACGGTCTGTCACGCTGCGAGTAGGGGGGAGGTTAGGACCCAAGATGTAGAACCAGGGAGACACGAGGCAGGAGGTGGAATAAACATTAAAAAAATCCTTTATTAGGAGTGATTGTCTAAAAGTAAATCCAATGGGGCAGGAAGTCAAAACCAAAAATCCTAGTATGAAAACCAAGACACGTAGAGATAAAGTGCTCTCTTAAAGAGCAGACCAAGAGAGGGTGCGAGACAACGCTGACACAAACAATGAACCAACGAACACAGAAAGACAGGACAGGGTTTTATACTCAGGGGCTGGATGATTAGGAGGATTGGGCACAGGTGATACCAATAACACAGAGGAGCAGAACAGGGCAGGTGAGGAAAGCCCCAACTAAAACCTGTTAAACAAAGCTACTGAACTAAATAACTTGAAACACGGTAGAAATAACACACTGGAGAACTAAAGATAATAAAACTAATGATCTAGGAGTAAGAGAACCAAAAACACTGGAAGACAGGGAAGGATGATACCTAAAGGGAGAAACGAACTAGACAATCTACAATAACAGAAAACTAATGATAAGAAAAATGACTAAAGGAAAACGTGAGGGAAACCTGGAGAGAACCTGGAGGGGGCTGGGGACCACAGGGAGGCACCTGAGGGGGAATGCAGACAAGCAGACATACGAGGAACACAAGGAGACACATAAGGGGGAACCTAGAGAGGGATGGAGAACACAAGGGGACACATGATGAGGGGGACGCAGAATGCAGACCATGACACAGTCTCGTTACAATAATTACACAAAATGTGTTAGCAGTCTCTAATGTCTTTCTTTTGTGTTCCTGTATGCCTTGCTCGTCAGAATAAATGGAGCAAATGTTAACGTCCAAAGACTAGCGGTGTCATGGCGATTGTTCAGCACTGACTCCCAAAACGTTGAAGAGATCCAGTTACTCCTCCGGTTCAGCGGTATAAAGTCCAGGCGGCCGGTTCTGAGAACTGTCACCCCCCACAGCGTGCTAGCTATTACAAACGCATCTGGATGCTTTGTGCTAAACACCATTAGCTTTGAGATGTTTCTTTTTTTGTTCATCTGCACAAATGTGTTAGAT